AAGCTGAGAATAAAACGATATGATTGTGGAAGGTGCAGCCCTACATAAACCATTCCGGATAGGAGGCGGGGGCCGGCTCAAAAAACCGGAACGGCGAGGGGTTCCTGGGCCTCGTAGCGCTTGAGGTCTATGGCGGCGAAGGGCTGCTGGGCGCCGCCGCGGTCGAGCTCCTGCGCCATGAGGGGCGAGAAAAAAGACGGCGGCAGCGGCGGCAGGAGGGTCGAAGAGGGCGGGGGCGGGCCGGCGGTTGAGAGCTCCGTGGCGATCTGGGACTCGGCGTCGGCGCGCTGGGCGGCGGTTGGCTCCGTGTCGATGTCTGCGGACGGCGAGATGGTTAGTCGGTTGTCATCACGACCGGGAAGCGAACAAGGCTGGGAGGAGGTGGGTTCCTACATGGCAGAGACTCGTGAAAAGCGTTTCTGGACGTCATGATGGGCGTCAATGTGTGCGATGAAGAGTGTCGTCGAGATGGGAGAAGGGGAAGTATGCGCGGTTGGAGAAAGAAACCTCGGAAGAAGGGAAAATTGCGGTCTCTAAAGGCTTTTCCGTGCAGTTGAATTCGGGCACCTAGCAGGCCATTGGGAGAGGAAGAGCTGCCAAGGATGTTTAGATCAGGCTGCAAAAAAAAGAAACAGAAACAGGGAGCCAGGAGCAGATGGTAGTATTAGGGAGCAGGGAGCAGGGAGGATGGCTGGGTCTTGGTGGTTTGGTCTGTGGTCCGAGCAGGCATAGAGGCGAGCAGAAACACGCAAAGTCGCGGCATCAGAGCTTTCTGCTTCCTGATTCGTACATTTCTGCATGGGGTGGATCGCGGGACGTCCGCTGGAGGGTGCCTGCCCAAAGGGCCTGGCATTGCCTGGGAACTTGCGTAGAAGGGTCCGTGCTTCCCCCGCGATGAGCTCCTGGCCCTTGCTCTTGCCCTGGCCGCCTCTCGCCTGCCTCTGAACACCTCGCCCCTGCTCCCTACAGCCTTGCCATCTCCTCGTCAGCCTTCCCTATGCATCCTTCGTCATCCTTCCCTATGTGTACTTCGCCATCCATCACAATTCTATGCTAGCCTCCAACCAGCGCTTGCTTCCTTTCAGAAATCTTACGGCATCCTCGAACTCGAAGCTCCTGAAAACATGCCTCCTATGAAAGCTTCGATGTCGCTGGATCGCGGTCACCCACTTCCTGCTTGGCCTTCTCGCGAAGGATCTTCCGCAGGATCTTGCCGGACTAGACATACGAGACCATGTCAGTAAAAACGAACATCATCACGTCATTGCAGAGAGGACAGTCAGCAAAAGGATCAGCGGACGTACGGGGTTCTTGGGAATGACATCCGTAAAGGCAACACCGCCTCGAAGCCTCTTGTGCCTGGAGACCTTCTTCTCGAGCCACGTCGCAATCTCCTCGGCCGACGTCTCGGATCCGGGCGTTCTGACAATGTAGGCACGGGGCCTCTCCTCACCCTCGATGGTCACACCGACGACGGCCACATCGGCCACATCTGTCCTCTCGAGCAGCAGCGCCTCGAGCTCGGCAGGCGCCACTTGGTTGCCCTTGACCTTGATGAGCTCCTTGATTCGGTCGACGATGAAGAAGAGGCCGCCGGGCCCGTACGAGTCGACGTAGGCCACGTCGCCCGTCCGCAGCCAGCGCGTGCCGTCGGCATCGACGGCGAACGTTTCCGTTGTCGCCTTCGAGTTGCGCCAGTAGCCGCGCATGACGCCCGGCCCCGCGATGAGCAGCTCGCCCGGTGTGCGCGCCTTGGTAACCTCGACGCCGTCGGCGCCGACGAGCTTGGCCGAAAAGTTGGGCATGATCTCGCCTACAGCTGATGTTGTGCGGTCCAGCCGCGTCGGGTCCCACGTCATGGCCGTACACGTCACCTCGGTCATGCCCCAGCCCTGCCGCACCAGCAGGTCGGGCTTGCCGAGCACGCGTGTCGTCTCGGCCGCCGTCTCGGCCGCCAGCGGTGCGGCGCCGCAGCCGACGTTCTCGAGGCTCGAGAGATCAAACGTCTTGGCGACGGGGTGCTTGGTCAGCGCCACGAGCACAGGCGGCACGGCGACGAGGTGCGTCACGCGGAAGCGCTGAATATGCGTGAGCATCTTGACAAAGTCAAACGATGGCATGACGTACACGGGCACGCCCTGGCTCGCAAAGTTGGCCACAAAGTACGTTTGCGCGTAGGCGTGGTACATGGGCAGGAAGCAGAGCCCGACGTGCCGCTTGACCGCCGTCGTGTAGTCAGGCGCCAGCTTCGTCACCTTGATGACGCCGGCGCCATTGGACACGTAGTTGTAGTGCGAAATCTCGACGCCCTTGGGCACGCCCGTGGTCCCCGATGAGTAGTTGAGGCAGCACGTCGTCGTGCGGCTGTCCTCGGGCTCGACCCAGTTGAAGGCCTCGGCTTCGGCCGCCGGCCCCAGCAGCTCCGTCCAGTGACGGGTGCCCTTGGTGTCGGCGCGCGGCGGTGTCACGGGTGCCTGGCCGGGGATGGTCGTGTCAAAGACAAAGACGTGGCTGGCCGGCATGCCGACCTCTGCGGCTGCCTCGACGGCAATGTCAATGCTGGCGGCGGCGGCAACCATGAAGCTGGCGCCGCTGTCCTTGAGCTGGTAGGCGAGCTCACGCGCGACGAAGCCTGGGTTGGCGCCGGTGAAGACACCGCCAGCCATGAGAACGCCGAGGAAGACGGAGGGAAAGTAGAGGCTGTTGCCCGAGAAGAGCAGCACGCGCTCGCCGCGCTTGAGGCCGGCCGCCTGGAGGCCGAGAGCGATGCGCTTCGCCAGCAGGCGGTACTCGGAAAAGGTGACAAAGTGCGTGTCCGGGCGGTCGGCGTCGAGGAAGGCTTTGCGATCGGGCAGGGGCGCCGAGGGGGAGCCAAAGATCCACTGCTGGAGCGAGCAGTTGGGGAGCTCCTCCTCCCAGCGTGACTTGATGGGCATGTCGGTTGTCGGTTTCGGGGGATGTGGAGGTGGGTGTCAGGGTTTGGTACACGCTGGCTCTTGGTGCTCTGCGGTGATGTCTTGTTTGAGGTGTATGGTTTGGAAGCAGGAAGTGCGGTCTGTGGAAGGTAGATGCAACTGTTGAGGTCAGTGCAGGTACATGGAGAAGAAGGGGTGGCAAATGTACAGCTCAGGCTACAACGTGGGTATATACGCAGGTCTCCCTCCTTCTCTGGGAGTTTAGTGGTGGTTATGTTTCCGAGGCAGCAAGATGTTCCTCGAGGAGGGCCGCCAGACGTCGCGTCAAAGGGGGGGACACCCAGCAATCGCCGTCATATATGGGTATATGGGGGGCCCCAGGGAGCAAGTACGAACTTTGGGCACAGCAACCAAGATCTGACGAAACGCCCCAAACCAATTGGTCCCCCCCGGACTATCTCTGGCCTCCCCCCGCCCTCTCGCTTCCTGGCGCGCTCTGGGTGCCAGGCTTCCAGCCGATCCGGTGACCCATCTCCATCGTCCCCACGATTGATGGCGGGGGCGGAGGCGGTCTTTGGCGATCTCCAGTGGGCCTCCCTCTAGCCTCTGGACCACCACTGGGAGGCTTGGGAGGTACCCAGGTACCCAGCTTGCCAGGGAGCGTACAGCACAGCAGCACCTGGGCCACGGCGCCCCCCCCCAGCGCCAACGGCAGCGCCTCCGCACCAGAACCCCTGCAGCCGCTTCGCCCGTGGCTCCTTGGCTCCCCTCCTGCCCACCGATGCGGGGAAGACGCGTCCACTTTCCGCCGAGGTGCCTAGGATGTCTGGCTGCGTCCGCCATGGGCTCTTGTTCTCTGGACCGAGGCTCACGAGCGCTGGCCGAATGGGGTTTGCAAGTCGCGAAGGAGGCGCACCCTTTTCCTCGTCCTCGTCCTCCTCTTCTCTTCTTCTCTCCCAGTTGCTGTCGCCAGTCTGCCTGCCTTCCGGATCTGTGCCTCATTCGCACTCGGTCTGTCTGCTGACGGCCTTTATCTTCTCAGCGATGCTTTCCAGATCCCCAGCCATTCGTACGAAAGTGTACCCGTCATCGTGAAAAAAAAAGCTGCTTTTGGTTTGGTTTGCCTGTGTGTATGGAATCTTACTGCTACACTGTTGCGCCAATGGGAGGACACGAATGCCCTCGAAACCGCATCGCCGGGTATCGTCTATATAAGTACACAAGAACCAGACCGCCGGTTTCTCGCGGTGTCTCCCCTCTGTAAACTCCAACCCTCCCCCCCCCCCCCCCCTGGCCATCGCTCCTCTCCTCTGTCCACTCCTAGAGCACCTCCGCACAGCTAGCTAGCATCCGGAAGCGAATTGATAAAAGCTCCTCCCCTTTCCCTCCGTTCCTGCCGACTGAAATCCTGTTACGCCGTTTTTGGAAGCCAATGCTGATGATGAACGACGATGAGAATGTTGAACATGATGCTGATAATCGTGATGATGATGCCACGCGTCGCCGCCGCCCACGCCCTCGGAGGGGCCGGTCTTCGTGCGCAAGCGAGGTGGCATCTGCCGCAGCCGCTGCCGCCGCCGCCGCCACCCCACGATGACATGGTGGTCGGCACTGACGGCCTCGTTGACGGAGGCCCAGTGCGCATGCGCGAACAGCGCATCCTGCGGCGTCGTCCGGGCCTCCCACGTATGAGTCGAGTCCCGTGCTGGTCGCCAACCGTCCTACGACCCGACCGCGAGGCACGAATCGAGGACCGAGTCGAGGAACGACGCGTCTTTGCCATCTCCGCCCTCCCACAGCATCTCCTCCTCGTCAATGTCCATGGCGTCGCCGTCGCCAAAGCCGTTGGCGCCCGCAAAGTCGGCGCCCGCGAGCGGCACAATGTCGAGGCCGCTGCGCGTCGTCGGCGAGCTCCATGACGCGCCCGACGGCGTC